AAAAAAGAGAAAAAATAGCAATCACTGACCGGTGAACGGTTAGATGAGCTCCGTCCCCAACCGGCTGGCAAAAGCATTGATCTCGTTCTAGACGACAGCCGTCCAGAACGTATTGTTAAGGTTGGGACGGTTGCTCATGCTACCTTGGGTGCAAGCTTGCACCTTCTGTTGAAGGAATTCAAAGACATTTTTGCCTTTGAAGTGGAAGAGATGTCAGGCGTCAACCCGGATCTTGCTGTCCACAAACTCGCCGTGGACCCTAAAAAAAAGCCCATCCAGCAAAAGAAAAGAAACCACGGCGAGGAAAGAAGTCAGGCAGCAGCTGCCGAAGTCAAAAAGCTGCTAGACGCCAGGTTCATTCGGCCTTGTAATTTCCCCGACTGGGTGGCCAATGTGGTCCTTATGAAGAAACCGAATGGGACCTGGCGCATGTGTGTTGATTACACAGACCTCAACAAGGCGTGTCCAAAGGACAGTTACCCGCTTCCAAAGATCGACAGTCTGGTCGATTCTACAGCCGGTCACGCTTTGATGAGTTTTATGGATGCCTACTCCGGCTTCCATCAGATACCCCTGTGGAAAAAGGATCAAGAGAAGACGGTCTTCGTCACTGATCAGGGGTTATTCTGTTATACGGTGATGCCGTTTGGCTTGAAAAATGCGCCTGCCACTTTCCAACTGATCAGGGGTTATTCTGTTATACGGTGATGACGTTGTACATGTATTTAGCCGTCTCAGACCATGCCCTCAGTGTCGTTCTCCTTGCTGAGCGAGACGGCGTGTAGCTCCCGGTTTACTTCATTAGCCATGTTCTTAAAAATGCTGAACTCCGGTACACCATGGCTGAAAAATTTGGCCTTGCTTTGTATATGGCATTCAAAAAATTGAAGCCTTACTTTTTGGCACATCCGGTGGTGATCTACACGGACCAGCCACTCAAGCGGCCAATGTCTACCTTGGACTCATCCGGGAGAATGTTGAAATGGGCTATTGAAATGCAGAGCCTTGAAATCACTTACGAACCAAGAAAGACAGTGAAAGGTCAGGCGTTTGCCGACTTCATTGTGAAAATGACTCGTCCGGTGGCTCCGGATAATCTTGATCAGGTTTGGAAAGTGTACGTAGACGGAAGCTCTACAAAGAACGGCTGTGGTGCAGGCGTAATTTATGAGTCTCCTGAAGGAGAAAGATTTGAATATGCACTACGCTTCAAGTTTCAAGCCTCTAACAATGAGGCGGAATATGAAGCCCTGCTAGCCGGCATACGCATGTGTAAGGCGGCAGGGGCCATGATAATTGACGCCTACTCTGATTCTCAATTGGTTGTTAGCCAGTATGAGGGAAGTTATGAGGCTACCCATCCGGCTATGATTAAATATCTTAAGGCAGTCAAAGAAGAAACCAAGGCACTTGAGGAATTCCGGCTGAATCAGGTGCTTAGGTCGGAAAACAACCAGGCGGATGCATTGTCAAAGCTGGCATCTTTCGCCTGCCATGATACGCCTCGATCAGTCTTCTGGGAAGTTCTTGAAAAGAGAAGCATCTATGAGGATCCCGTTGGAATTCTGGACCGAAGCTCTACCTGGATGGATGGCATCCGGGCCTATCTCTCAGACGGCACACTTCCTGATTCGCCACAGGAAGCAGCCGTCCTAAAAATGCGAGCTGCAAGATTCGAGTTGAAAAATGGAGAACTCTTAAAGGCGGGGTTTCTGAAGCCTTTGTTGAAGTGTGTCACCCCAGAAAAGGGGAAAGAAGTTCTCGAAGACTTGCACTCGGGATTCTGCGCCTCTCACATAGGTGGCAGGTCCCTAGGCGTCAGAGCCAGACGACACTACTTTTGGCCCACTCTTGAGGCAGACGCCAAGGAGTTGGTGAAGAAATGTGACAAGTGCCAAAAATTTGGCAAACTCATTCACCGTCCGGCTACTAATATGACGGCCATCCACAGCCCAATCCTGTTTGCAAAATGGAGAATGGACATTCTAGGTCCTTACACGCCTGCTCCAGGCGGAAAGCGCTACATCTTGGTGGTTGTGGACTACTTCACCAAGTGGGTGGAGGCTGAGGCGGTAAAAAACATCAAGACCTCAGACGTAATTTCCTTCGTTTGGAAGAACATTATCACCCGGTATGGGGTACCTATGTCTATGGTATTTGATAATGGTCCTCAGCTTGAGACGCCTCAGCTAAAAACTTGGTTGGGAGATCAGGGGATCTCAAGCTATTTTGCATTTGTTGGCCGACCCCAAGCAAACGGCCAAGTTGAAGCCTTCAACAAACTCATCTCAGACGGCATTAAGAAGAAAATAGAAAGAGCCAGTGGCTTATGGGCAGAAGAGTTAATCCATGTCCTATGGGCCATCCGGACAACAGCAAAGGGGGCAATCGATGAAACCCCATTTCTCATAGTTTACGGTGCTGAAGCGGTCTTGTCCATCGAACATTACGAGCCGACTCTTAGAGTCATGCTATATAATGAAGAGGCAAATTCGGAAGCAATGCGCCTGGCATTGGATTCACTCCTAGAACGCAGGGGCAATGCCGCCTTGCGTCATGAGATTTACCGTCTGAGAATGACGAGAGCCTACAACAAAAAAGTACACAAGCGTCCTTTGAAAGTTGACGACTTAGTGTTACGAAAAATGGAGGCAACCGGTAGGGCCAATGAGCTGGGAAAGCTAACCCCAAATTGGGAAGGCCCCTACCGGATCTATGAAGAAGTAAGGGACAACACCTACCGCCTGGAAACTCCAGACGGCAGGCGCCTGCCTAGAACTTGGAATGTAGACAATCTAAAAAGTACTACTTCTGAGAATGTAAACTTTTTGTAAACAGTGAGTCAGTTAATGAAGATTCATACTTTGTTTGCAAAATTGAGTTATCGTTTGATTATCCATCCGGGTAATATCCAGGCGGATTCCCCATTTACCTAACTAAGTTCGATACTTAGTGAAGGTTACATTTGTTTGACCGCCTGGGTAATACTCGGATCTCTTGTTTATTTAAGTTTGATACTTTGTTTATTCAACTGCTTGACTATCCGCCTGGGTAATACTCAGACGGATTCTCTATTTATCTAACTAAGTTTGATACTTAGTATGATCAAATATTTGCCTGTCCGTCTGGATAATACCCAGACAGACTCGCTTGTTTAAAAAACTGAGTTCGACACTTAGTGTAAATTCAATACTTTGACTAAAAACTAAGCACAAAAACGTTTAGTGGCTATACAACCAGTCTCAAACAAGACTAGAGGCTAACATGGCCGGATGGTTGCTCATTTTATAAAATCGCCTGTCCCAACATGGACAAAGGCGTCCGGCGACACCCCTTCGGGTGAAATCATCGCAGAGAACAGACTATTTGTCGGTTCTACGTACCCATGCAGACGGCAAAGATTGAACGACCTAATTGGTCAACTCATAGCCGTCTGATCAAAATGACCTGTGAAGAATGATCAAGTTGCCGAATACCGGATGCCATGGGGCATTAGCCGGTCACCGGCTGAAGGTTTCACTTAGGTTATCTATTCCAAAATTGCACTTCCCACCCCAATTGGGGAAAAAGAGTTGTTCAATGGCTATGAAATCTCTACCTAGACGAACAAACGCCGTCTGTGTAGTGACTGGAACGCCTGTCGGTGTACGGCTTTGCACTTGGTTTGGGGAAATCACTATTGTGATTGATCGACTTGCAAACATATCATGCTCTTTCCAGCATCAGACGTTTTCAAGTCAATCAACCAACTCCACTTTAAACCAACTACACAGCCGTCCAGGGGCAAGGATAGCCGGACTACTAACTAGTTAGGCAAGAAATCGCCGCATGCTTTCGATAAGGTAGGCAAAAATTAAAATTTGCAAAAAACAAATATTCAAATGCAAAATGATCAAAACCGACTTAGTCGGTGCAATTCATAAAAGTCCATCCAACCAAACGGTTTTAATGGATCAAATGTTAACCGGAACCCGTCAGGGAGAAAGAAATTGTTAATTAACCCGGCTCCATAGCCGGTAAAAAACACAAATACTTGGCACGCAGGCCGGAAAAAGCAAGTTTTGGCATACAGCCGCTGAATAAAAAGAAAATTAAAAAAGCAAAGACTGGCATACGGCCGCTGAGGGGTCACTTCTGGCCTGCAGACGGAGCCTCCTGGTTCTCCCCCTTCTCCTCATCATCTGAGAGAATTTGGTGCGCTTCACCGGGACCAGGAAGCTCAGGCGCGATCGGCTCATTGTTGCTGAGCCAGGCTTCAAAGGAGGCAGGCTCTGGCTCGCCTTGCTCTCTCAAGTACACCACGTACTCGGCATAGCTGTGTGTCATTGCCCAGATGCTATAATTAGCCTCTAGGTACAAGGCAGCCCAAGCAATCTTCATACGGGCGTCGTTGTCAGCATCACTTCTCAGCAACAAGGCAGTTTTGCTCCGCCTCCAGGGTTGCTGCAAAGTTTTTCTGAGCTTGAGAAGCATCCTTCTCCAGCCTCTCAACCTTGGTTTTCAGTTTGCCAAGGTCCGCCTGGGCCTTCTTGAGCGCCTCATCAGCCTGTTTGGCACTCTCGTCTGCCTTCTTCTGGGCCTCCTCCGCCCCCTTCTTGGCCGTCTCAGCATCCGTTGCCCGCTGGTCGGCCGCCTTCAGATCTAGCTCCAGCTGCTGGATTTTAGATGCCTGTGTCATAATTATTGCTTTAGTTTCAAGTTCATTTACGATAGTCGAGTGGAAAGCAATATTATCAGCGTCTATGGCGGACTTCTTGGCCCTTTTTACCTCTTCCCGTTTGCGGGAATAAGGACGTTTGAGCCCGTCCACCCGCAACATGGTCTGCAAAAAAGCAGGCGGTATAAGAATTACAGGCGGGATAAAACACTCGGAAAAAATAAAATTGAATTGACAAGTCTCTTACCTCAGCCAGAAGGGATAGAATGCGTTCAAGATTGAACGTCTCTATCCCAGGGATATTGTCCTTATCCCCCTTCCGGACGGCTTCCAGCATGGCCTTGGCGTGGTTCTGGACGTCTGGCCAGCGGGGAGATTGATCTGCACCACAATCAATACGTGATGAGTGCGAAACTAAGGCAGCACTTATTTGTTGCCGACCGTCTGAGGATGATGTCTGTTGGGAGTGGGATTTCACCCGTAAAGGCCAACCCAGTTCAAACGGGGATTCAAAAGGGTTCTTACCTTCAGAGCCGGCCAAGCGGGAACTGCTTGCAGGCGTGGTGAACCCCGCGGCTGCTGATAAAGGATTGGCAAGATCAAGGCACATGATGCCGCCTACCTTCTCGAGTCGCCCCGACACTCGTATCGTCTTAGCCCCGGTTGAGGCGCCAGGAGTTGACGCAGAGGCGGACTTTTTTATTTTGTTGAGAACGGCTGGGGCCTCCTCTCTAGCCCGTTTGAGATTTTTCTCAAACGATTTCCCAACTTCTCCCCCCTACGAAAATAACCAAGTCAAAGTTAGTATCCGGGCAAGATAGTTTTTAAAATAAACTTAAGAAAGGGTCAGGCGCTCAATACCTTGGCCTTGAGCTCGGCCGCGGATTTCTCCGTAAGATCTTTGCGGATGGTCGCAGAAGACCGCTTGGGAGTTTTCTCCGACTGCAACATGATTAGTGCTTCTTCTGCAAAAAGAGAGAAATTAGTCAATATCATAAATAAATTTCGATAGAAAAATACTGCAGACGGTGTGAGCTCTGGCACATACGTTTATTAAACATGTGCCCTAGCCCGCAGGCGGCTTGGAAACATTCATCCCTGAACCAGGCGCTCTTGGGAATCCAATTCTTAGGGACTTTTATTGTTTCCCCGGTTGACAGAGTTGCGTCTGTGAGGCCGAAAAAGTCTGCCTCGATTATTTTGTCAAAGTCTTCCACTGGGATCTGGGGAAGAGTGCACTTCCTGCCCAACAAGTCAGGCTTCTTATTGTACTGACGAAATTCATAATTTTCCCGTCTGGTTGGGGCTGACATCAGGTAGAACCTGTGCTTCCGGCCATCGAACTTTGAGACCTTGTCCAAGGTCATCATGTATTGTGGCTGTGTGGTTAGAGTATACCACGCCCTCCAACCGCCCGGGCTTCTGCTGAGGTAATGCATGCTTGCAAAAGCCTCCGAGCCGGGGTTAAGCCCTTGGAACTCGCAGGCGGCAACATACCCCAGAATGTTGGTCCAGGAGTTGGGGGTAAGTTGCCAGACCCCAAGGCCGTAGCCTCTCAAAATTGCCTTCACCGCCTGGTAAAGGGGGAAGCGAAGGCCGGCTTTGAACGCCGCCTCATAACAGCCAAAATAGTTGTTAGCGTTCTCTTGATCATCCCCCCAGGCAGTGGGCTGCGGCACCCGGATCTTATACCCGTCTCCTAGCGGGTGCATTTTCTTAAAATTCTCTAAGTTCTCCCCCATCTGGATTCGGTCCTTGGAGGTGACGTGGATGCTGAAGGGATCGTCCTTCTCACTCCACTTTTTCCTTTCTTCCTCCTCGCTATCCGGAAGAGGGGGCAAGTCATCGCTGCTCTCGGAGACGTTTCTCCCTCAAGCGTTTGGCCGCATGAGCCTTCTCTCTTGTAATTCGGGTCCGTGGCTGTCTACATTGTCCGAGCCATGGTGTCCTGCACAGACACATAACTAGTCAGAATCCATGGCAAAGGATGGTCCCAACACCCCGAGCCGGCACTCCCAGTCCTAGACTCAGCCAACCCTGGTGACCGGCTGGACTCTAACCTATGTTGTGTCGTGTGTGTTGGTGATGCATCCATTTATTGCAAGAAATATGTACAAGCGGTGAAAAAAGAAAAGAGCTAAGAGAGACAGAGACGGTACCTTTTGATTTGGTATCTGAACGTAGGCGGGACCGGTTGTATTGCTAAAGAACAAACTTTATTGCTCACGTCTGCCTCAAACAAGTGACTTCTGCTCTCTCAAAGTTTTTCTCTCTAGGAAATTTTTGTAAACGTACAAAATTATAAGGGTAAAACGGCTATATATAGAGGGTAAATTTGGGGGCATTTCCGTAATTTACCCGAAAGGTGAACGGTTACTCTGTAACGGTAACATTACCGCCAACCGGAGCGTGACATGTGTCACAGATGCCACGTGGCGTGCCACGCCACATCTGTGAGGGGCAAATGTTTAGGGTAATTTTACCCTGCCACGTGGCCGAATCAGAAGGTGACACGTGTTAGCCCCAGATTGGTCTAAAATGGACCAATCCCCGCTTGACACGTGTTATTCCCGAAATCAAGGGAAAAGGCGGCCTTCAGGCCCAAATCCCGAGAATGCCACAAACGGCGCAGCCCACCAATGATTAGGGTTCAGTAACCTAATCAAGGGCACAATTTCCAAAGACCCTATAAATAGGGAGATGTCCCTCATTTAGAGGACAGGTTTTTATTATTTATTACACACTTACTCTTTGATAGAGGCATCCTGAGCTTGGAATCCGAGCAGATCCCTACCTAAATTTCTGCACCTTTTTTCTACCTTCAAGTTTCTAACTTGTGCGTCGGAGGCGGAGCACCACCCAACTGGTGTCTCCGTTTGTTTTGCAGGTACAGTTCACCCCGGATCAGTCTTCGTGTTGTAACTCTCCCGAGGGACAAAAACACCCAAAAACAAAAGTGAAATGCGTTTCACGTTGTAGCTTGTTAAGAAACTTCAGTTATACATCCGTTGGGGCTGCGATTGGTAAATCCAAACTAAGTCAATGAAATGAATGTCGAAGAATACATTAATGAGTTAGGCCTGGACTTGCCCTTGTTATATGGATAGTAGCCACAGACGAATACATTGCTGACATTTTAAATTCTTCCACGACTCCTCTCCACCAACAGCATGTTCCTTGACAACTTTGAGTCACATAGACCCTTCATGCAGCTTTTGAAGATATCATCATGGAGTCGATCCGAGCTGATCAACGGCATTACATTACATAAGTTTAGACATTTTAACGTTAGGTGGGTACTCAAGTGTAAGAAGAACATGTCCATACCAGTGTGTTATCAATATTGATTGTTGGTGAAATTGAATCACCATGAAGTAGCATAAGCCGCGGAGGTGAAGAAGATTTCAAGGCAACACACATTCGGACAAAAACCGGATCACAACTATCCGCATTAGGAACGAAAACCTGCATTAACACAACCTGAGATTTAGTAACAAGTAAAGTGCATAACTGGTTAAGCAGGAATTAGCTAAAAAAAACTCACCTTAGATACCACTGCTAACACACGCGCAAGGATTTTTAAGAAAATTGACCAGTGAAGGCAGCAACAATTCTCGCGGTTCACACACACCACCTCGAAACGACAGAACCTCACCCTTCATAAACAAAATAGTTATCCTATTTATTATTTTAAAAAAATTAGCTTACAAACAAAGTATAGTCATAAGGTAACAGGGTACCAGTAATGGACATCCAGCACTCAATAACAGAGATTTCATCCTTCTAAAGAGTTATAAAGCATATTTAGAAACAAAACTGGGTAAACAAAAAATAAACACTAACGTTAGTATAATGTAACAACATAACGTTAGTATAATATAACAACATATGGCTTGTAATATTCTTAAAGTTAAACACCTTTACCTGCACTTTTCTTCTAAAAGTCTCTACCCATGTGAAGTAACAAATCCATTTGGTGCTGTTTGAAATAGCGTGCGGGGAAGCTCATCAATGTCAGGTTTTCCAACAACAGAATTGTTCTCATCTGTGTTTGGTGGAATCTTTGATCTGAAAGCGCCTCGCCTCCATCTGGATTCCAAACACTCCGTATCATCTTGCAGCTCAACCTATCAAAAAAAACACCGGGGAAAATGTTGATACATTTCAATAATTGTTTCAGTAGCATCCATCTACAATGGGCGGATTCTTGTACCTTTGTAGGTTCATGAGTATCTCTTGCCTATCGTGGATGAACCTCCCCCTAAGCAACATCCAGAGTCTACAAAACCAAAAATTAAGAAAAAAAAAACACCAAACGGTTGCATTTATGCCCTGATTAAAAGAATAAGAAATTGCTTACTTACCCCTGTCTTTCCGTAATCACCCCCTGCCGGTAACCGGTATTCCTTACTTGCAAGAACAATTTGTTTTATGTTCCATGCCTTCAACCTTGGGAAGGCACCCCAGTCTACAGCCTCTCTATCAAGTCGGTCTAAATAGAAAATCTATTTCAAAAAAATACTAATAATGTCACACTTACTCATATAAATAGTATATGTAAATCATTATGGTGACTATTACATACCAAGGCAAACAGTGTGCAGCCTCCACATCCACCAGCATGGCCATTAGAATAAAACCTTCGGCCGAATGAACGGACAGTTGCAAGAAGATTTGTTAGAACCAACGTACACCAATCGTAATCCGGAGCTTCCATAGCACATGTCAGAGCTGAAACAAGATCAGACGACAACCTAGGTGAAAATTTTGGACATAGAACCATTTCCAAAGATAACATAAGGAACAGTGTCTTGAATTCTTCCTCGTCTTAAGCTTCCCAATGGCTCTCCAACCTCTCCAGTAACTGAGGATGGATCGGAATTCCAAGAGACTTATGCACCCTTGAGTCTCCACTGTTGGAACTATACTTACGAGTTTGACCATACTTAGAAGTAATTTCTTTAGCCTTCTCCCGCTGAACCTTGTTCAATGTTCTATAACTTGGAACAGCCTTTGATCCATTCGGAATGCCAAGAATCCAATGAACTTAGTTTCTAGACAACCGTAAAACCCTTCCATCCGGCGTAATAACCATCTTATTGAACGGATCAATCCGGGTCATTAACCAATAACCCAGCTTCCTTGGAAGGTGCATACCACTTGACAAGTACAACAACCCACCAAAACCCATTTCGGAGACCCATTGTCTACGACAGGAATCAAACGTTTGACATATTCTACCAAATCTCTCAACCCGACAATTTAAATTTGGAGGCTGAAACATTACACAACAACATGCACCATCATAAGACCACAGCCTTGTTTAAATTTTCAAGGGGAATTAACTGTAAATTTTAATTTACCTTCGACCGAACAAGAAAATACTCCTTCAACACTTCACCTTTCGACTTCACTTGCCCACCAATACTTAATTTGTCGTCCTAAGCAATTTAATTAACTTATTATTAAACAACAATCTGGCAATGGTAACGACTTTCAATAATCGTTTCAATGTTATCAACAAACCAACTCTTTACCTTGAACACTGCTGCACTATCACAGTTTAGGTCTTTCATCCTACTAGAATTAGCCTTCGAACCAATATAACCAATGAACCAGTGATATAAAACCTTTTGAAAATAATAATGACATAGTTTATCAACATTTAAATCAACAATTATCAATCAATTGAAAACAAATTGGACTGTAAGTAATCAACAATAATAAAAACCATCATTAGGGGTGAAAATATGCCATACAATTACAATACAGCCAACACAGAACTACAAATTCGTAAAACGCAACAAATTGTAATAATAAATAACCAACTCAGAACTACAAATTCGTAAAACGCAACAACAATTAACTTACAGTGATAACACTAAGCCAATTCAGTACGCGCCCTTGATGGTAGTATAAGTTAAATTCGCCAGCGAATCGCATGGTATGAGTTCTTCGAACATATAGTTGCTGTTATTAATACAAAATTTGTCGGATTAAAGTGCAAGAACCCTTATTGTCTCCAAATATAAAATAAGGGTTTGTTCATCACAAATAAGGGTTTGTTCATCAAAATTGGGAAAGTGATGTTAACGGTGTTTAAAAAACAGGCTGCTTTGACCATGGAAGACGTTAGTCAAAAATTTTGAGCAAATGTTAACGTCTCCCTAATGTTACGATTTAACCCTTACCATACCGAGCAATTTACAAAACTACCCCCCTGATTGACATTTTTTGCCAATCAGCCTGATCAACCAGTATTTTCCCTACGTTCTTAACCATTTTAACACTTTTTGGCACTTCGATCGAACTCTTAATAGTTTGCCCGAACCTCATGAATTTGAAATTTGCTCTAATTTTATGGATGTTGTTTGTGTGAATTGTTTTTGCAATTGAGCGGTGCGAAGGTCTATTGGAGGACCAATTGATGCGGGTGTGCTGTGTGCTTGTGGCTGTAAATTGGTGCGGTGGTGTTGCGGTTGCGCTGAGGGGAGCTGCGAGGGGATGGAAGTAGCGGTGGCAGCTAATCTGTTGTTTAACTTGCGAAGGTGGATTCATTTAGTGGTGAGAACAGGGAGCAGGGGAAGTGATGGAAGGTGGCTGCTCGATTGATTATGCGAGGGCTGATTTGGGATGTTCGTGGTTTTGGCGTTATTGGTGGGCTATAGCTGCGACGGTTTTGGTTGCATGCGGTTGGTGGTGTGAAGGTTAATTACGGATTAGCAGCAGGAGAGTTGCGTGGGAGTCAGATGTTCCGGTTGGAGGTTGGTTGTGGTGCAGGTGGTGTGTTTGGTTGGGTGGCTGAAGTGGTGGTCTGGGTTGTGAGCTGCGAATTGGCAAAGGGTGAGCAGCAGCTTGAGAGTGAGATGCGGGGCATGGGAGTGAATTGGTGCAGGGGAGTGTGGTGTGGGATAGGAGATGGTGTAGTGAAGGTTAAGGAGAGCAACAGTCAGCAGCTAGCAAAGAACTGCACACACTTTGATTCGTCCTCGAGTTCCGAACTCACTTGACATGAAACCTAGGACCTTACACAAAAAACCGAGTAGAAATCGAGACAAATAAAATAAAATAAGTAAAATGGAAATAAATAAAATAAAATAGAAAATAATAGAAATAAAACTAAACTAATAAAAATTAAACAAAAACTATACAAGAAAATAATGTAAAATAAAATAAGAAATAAACTACAAACTAAATAAAACTATGAAAGTGACAAGGAAAAGAACGAAATAAAATAAATCCAAAGCAAGAAAATAAACTAGAAACCAATCAAATAAAGAAATTAAACTAACACATACTAAAACTAAGAAATAAACTAGAAACTTTATTAAAAATAAAACAAGAGAATAAAAGGGAAAATAAGATAAAATAAACACGAAAAAGAACCTAAACACTATCACTAAGAGTGACATAAATGTCACTCATCAAACATATAAAGAGGGAGAGAGAGAAAGTAAGGAAAATATACTTCCTTACCCTTGAAGCGTGCTTCTCACGAACCCCGAGCACGAACACATAAATCTCTAGACCCATAAGTGCAGGTCCTTCTTCCTTGCACACCCACACGCCCAATTGCCCAAATAGGTCCTTACCCCGTATCTTAGACGAGACTAGACCAATGAAAACTAGAGTATTAAAAACTTAAAGGCTTTCTCACGCATTTGGGATTAAGATACCTTATTGAGTTCAACTCATGTGAATAATCCTAAATCCCATGATTCGTATTTACAGGCAAAGGCTCCCAAAAACTTCAATCATCTTTCCACGTGGGAGAAATGATAGTATAAACAATGAGCAAATGACAAGTGGCAATGTAAGGGAGGGTAAGGTAAGGACCACAAACCCTTCCCTTAAGGAGCAAGTAAAACCGCCAAATCACACCATCCCCATGTGCACGACATACACCCCCAACCTTGGGCCTCAAGACATGCCGCCTTTTGGAAGCCTTGGCTTTTGATTAGGCCTGCACTCGCAAGCCTAGCACTATTGTTGCTTGTGCGGTTATGAGCGGGTGTGCTTGCTCCTGCTAGCGTTACAATGCGTAGCTCGCAAGGCAGCAACCCCTGCTAGCAATGCTTGCTCGCAAGGCTGCTCAGCCTAGCTTTCCCAGCCATGGCATGCGCATGCATGTTGGGCTTGCGGTTAAGCCTTACCTTGCGGCAGGTAACCCGATTAGCCTAGCCCTCGCATGCCTAACTACTAGCTAGGTCATTACGAGGCTACGGCTAGTTGTTGACTTGTCATTTGACTTTTTATCGTCTATTTGATTACTTGAATCGACTCAACGATCGACGCTCTAAGCTCATAATCTGACGTCTGAGTTGGTAAAATCTCTATTGATATATTTAATCCTTCGGACTAATTCGTCTCCTTTGTTTGGTTACACTATTGGGTGTGATGTGACCCGAAGAGTTCAGTCAAGAGCAAGCTGTAATATTAATTATACATTAATATTACTGATCGAAGTGCCCTCTAGATCGGCATTCCGATCACTTGACTTCACTAAATAAATTACTTTCCTAATTAATTCCGAACCCTCTATCAGAATAATACACTTGTTTGAAAGACACCATTCTTTTTAATTCGTTCTTGCGTTGGCCGTGACGAAGTTCTTGGTGTTTGGCCGGTTTATGCTTGTGAGATTTATTTTGGATTCTTGTTGCGTCTTCATGTTGATTCATGAATCACTTTATGTTTGTGTTAGTTTTTTTTTTCTCTGGTTAGTAGTGGTTAGATGTTGTTCTTGGTTTGTCTTAGATTAATGTTTCTCTTGTGTAAGTTTCTTGTTTGGTTTTTTTTGGTTATTGTGTTTCAATACTTCTACTTCTTTGCTTGGTCATAAGTTAGAATTCCGTTGGGTAGTTTTGTTATGGAGGTTATAGAAGTGTCGTCGTTGTCTTTAGCACCTGGTTGGTTAGTTTTAGGGGTTGTAAGGTGAAGCAATCCCTTGTTAACTACGTTGGTGGTCCTTTTGGTTGCCTTTTTGGCCATTAGCATCAGTAAACATGCAGTTACCACCATTAAAGTGTTCGACGAGCTAAGGAAGCATTTTAGAGCAAAGAGTTTTTAATTTTAAATGTAACAAGCCGCCAAAATTAAACCAAATTCAATAACAGCTTGTTTTTGTTTCACTTAGGTTCTTCACCAAATTTCCCAATGTATGTGGTCTACACCTTGTCATCAAAGGTCTATGGACCCTCAATAATAATAAAAAAATAACTAAAACAATATAAATGACGAGTGACATTTATGTCACTCTTAGGGTAGTGTTTTTGCTTTGTTTTAGCTTGTCTTGGGTTGTTTTATAGTTGTTTTAATTTGTTCAAATAATGTGTGCATACATGTCTCGATGTGTTTTGGCCGATCGCGTATGTGCTTGACATGATTTCCTTTATTTCATGTTCTCACCGTTGCCCTACCTTATTGCTTCCCTTGGTGTTTGTGCTTAGGTATTTTGAAGTCAAGCATTACAAAGAAGAATCCAGGTAGCACGAAAGGAGATTCAAAGAAAGCGAGGTGCGCAGGCGCGCAGCCCTGTGAGAACCTGCACAGGAGAAAGAACAAATTCCAGAATCGAGGCATATTGTCTGCGCGCCTTGTGCGTAGGCGCACACCCATTCTGCGCGGGCGCGCAACTATAGTGCGCGGGTGCGGAACTCCGCAACACAAGCCACACAACCAATGAAGACGTGGGCGCGCATCGGCCCTTATTCAGATTATTTCTGCGATTCTATAAATATGGGATGCTTGTTTTTTACGGGAGGAATTAGACTTTATTATTTTTCTCTAGTTTTAGGAGATCTTCTCTCTCTGGGTTTAGCTTAGGATTAGAGTAGTTTAGAGAGAGAAAGTGAGGGTTTCACCATTGTTCAGCTTGGATCTTGAAGAGGAAGATTGATCATCTTGCTTGTAAACTTTCCCCCTTATTCAATGAGAATTTCTAACTTTCTCTCCTCTATTTTCATTACTTTCTTTGTTTATTGTTTTAGTTGTTAGTAATGTTGATGCTTGGTTATTTGTTGATTAATCTTGTTGTAGACATGATTAGTGAGTAGTTCCCCCACTAAGGGGATGGTTATGGTGTAGTTGGATCTTGAGCATGTTTTAGGTTTTGAAATTGATTTGTTTGTGATTAAAATGTTTTGTTTTCCATGTCTTACCAATTACTTCATTTAAGAGGCCTATCAATTGTTGTAGTTGGGTGGATTGAACTAGAATATGGCGATATCGTGATGTAGGAATGTCCATTGAATGATTTGCTTGATTTGTACCCCGATTCATGTGGCTTATGACGATAGTGTAAGTTGTTCTTGAGTTGAGAAATCAATTAGCCCCGATAGGTGGTTAGATTGTGTTTTAAATTACTTACATTAGTAACTTAGTTTGTGTTTTAATTCAGTTCCATGCTTGACCATGCTTAAGTAAGTGCTAAACTTATACCGTTTTCCTTAGTGCTTTATTTCTTGTTTTAGTGTCTTTAGATTTTAGTTTACTTTCCTAATTCCGGACTAGCTTAGTTGGCGATAATACTTGGTACTTCTTAATTGTTCCCTGTGGTTCGACCTCTCTTCTTGCCATATACTTGTATTAGGTTAGTTGAGTGTTATAAATTGTATTTGATCTAGGGATAGACAGCTGACGATGCGTTTATTTTCTTATCAAATTGGCGTCGTTGCCGGGAAACGGCTTCCATTATCGTTATCTTATATTATTGAGACTAGTCCTGTGTGTGTAATTTTCTTTTGGTTTGTTTTCTTCTTGTTTTTATTTTTGTTTGTGTAAAATTAATTGATAAGTGACTTTTATGTCACTTTTAGGGTAATTTTATGCTTATTTTTCGGTTTAGTCTCTAATAATTTTCCTTAGTTTTAGGCTTTATTTCTCTCTTTTTCTTATTTGATCTTTATTTTGTGTATTTTAGTAGTTTTTAGTTTATTTTCGTAATTTATTTTATAATTCTTACTTTATAATGTTTTAAGTCGTAGTTTTAGTTTATATTAATTTTCTCGTTTTCCTTCTTTTATTTTTGTTTATTTTCAAGTTTGTTTTCTTTATTTTGATTTAATTTCATTTGATTTTATAATTTCTATTAGTTTTAATATTTTATTTTACTTTAATTTTATTTTTATTTTATTTTATCTCTTAGTATTCCCCTCGTGTTTTTGTTGTAGGTCGTGTTTGGTGTTTCGGGTTTGAGTCAAAGGTGTCAAAGCAAGCTTTCAAGCCCCCTTGTTGCTGCCCATTAAACTTCACCCCACAATTCCTATCCTACACTACACAAATTCCCAAACCTTTAACATCCCCTACTGCACCCTTGTTCCACCTTTCCACCGTTTCACCATTCACTCCACCAGCCACGCAAACCCATCTCCTCCACACCACACAACAGCGGCACCATTACCAACCTCCCCCATCTCCTCTGCTCCTCACGCACTCCACAACAACAACAATGACAGCAGCAACGTTGCCCACAACTCCAAGCTTCCACGCATCACAGCCACCACTACTCCCTTATCTCACACCATCTTTAACTACCATTCCACAACCACCATCAACAACCATCCAAACCACCATCCAACCAACAGTCTTGTCGCAACTCCCAGCCACTGCAACAACCACGATTCCAACTACAACCACAGTCCCACGAATTGCAGCCAACTCCCTCGTAGCCACCAGCCACCGTAATCACCTCGCCATTAGCTGCCAAAACCGCCAACAATTTGCCCCAAATAAAGCCAATAAACAACACCCTTTAGGGCGACCACTCAATTTAAAGAAGCGGACGCTCCTCAATCCTCAAATTGCATCCACTTTGGGCAGAAGCAGAGAGCGTCTGCTCCTATGGGTATGACAGCCATTTTGATTTTTATCGAGCTTAATCGTACGGATTAATGAGTTTGGATGGCTGAGATTGCTTTAATTAATCCAAAGGTGGAAATTTTGTATTCTCATTGATGATATTGATGATTGATCCCCAATGATGATGGTGGTGTGATGATTAGAGCAGAGCAGCCACGAAAGGAGAAGAAAGGGTGATTGATTTTTGGGGTCTTTGGTTTTATTTTCCTTTTTATTTTCTTTTAATTTTATTTTATTTCTTATTCTTTTTCCTTTTCTTTTCATTACTT